AACTAGCTGGTAGATTGCTTGGTATAATGACAGTTTTCTGTGGTCAGAATGAGACTAGAGTATACCAAACTATCGTGTCTAACTAGCTAGTAGATTGTTTGGTATAATGACAGTTTTCTGTGGTCAGAATGAGACTAGAGTATACCAAACTATCGTGTCTAACTAGCTAGTAGATTGTTTGGTACAATGACAGTTTTCTGTGGTCAGAATGAGAATAGAGTATACCAAACTATCGTATCTAACTAGCTAGTAGATTGTTTGTTACAATGGCAGTTTTCTGTGGTCAGAATGAGACTAGAGTATACCAAACTATCGTGTCTAACTAGCTAGTAGATTGTTTGGTATAATGACAGTTTTCTGTGGTCAGAATGAGACTAGAGTATACCAAACTATCATGTCTAACTAGCTAGAAGATTGCTTGGTATAATGACAGTTTTCTGTGATCAGAATGAGACTAGAGTATACAAACTATCGTGTCTAACTAGCCAGCTGAACAAAGTGACAGCTTTAATCAAACTAAACACCTAATTGTAAAGAAATTTATCGCTGTCTCCTAGTTATTCTTGATGTTTCAACTCAAATATCGAGTGTTGGTGAGGTCCACCAAAACTAGTTTAAACTGCTAACTTAACAATTAATATTCTCCATTTTTAATGAACCCTTTTAAAATAAATTCAGTTTGATCAAGTAGATATATAATAATTAATATTATATTTTAGAAATAGTTTCAGGTATAATTTACATCGTTCTTAATATAGAAAACTTTATATACTGCCCATTTAAGGTGTCGGAATTTTGTGACATTCTCTTTTCAAGATCAGTAATTGACAATTTCACTTAAAAAAACTGAGAATTCGATCTATTTCTAACAAAAGTACCACCTTACTCGATATCATAGAACTAGTTGATCTGGATAATCAAAGCTTTGTCCTTTAGATCGGATCATTATTACCTTGTAATCAGATAATAATGACACAATAATCGCGACTATCACATCGAATTATCCGCTGTATTATTGTTATTAAAAGCATAGTTGATAGTCGATTAGTCTCGATTGATCCAGTATGATTGATCAATTAAAGCTGAGATAGTGAGAAGACTAAGAATCAGTGTCTATAGAATCATTTATCCAGCTTATTTTACCTACTATATCTCCTTGACAATGTCTTCAGAACAACACGACTACCAACAACAGTCAGTCAGAACAATATTCCTCGTTTATTAAGTACCATCTTATCATTTTACATTTTCTTACACTTGAGGAATATAGAGTTTGAATAGAGCAGGTTTAATCGGATTGTCCAAGTGGAAGCTCTGAAACCACTTAGACACTTGTCCATAAGATCCTGAACGATTTCCTCCACCCACGGGCATTCTAAAATACACGACACTTCACCATTGCTCAATTACACAAGAAACACCCACATTGCTAAATTTATGACAGACGAATTTCAACTGGATATTACATTAATACTATAAATAACATTATTATCTCTCAAAAACAATCTCGTGACGTCATATTATTGTTTATTGTATTGTTACTAGGCTTGGAACATGTTGGCTATGATTATTAACTATGGTAAACAGTATACAGGAAAAACATAAACCTGGGTTACATGAAAACAGGTGTGGAATATCTTTAAACCTGGGTTACATGAAAACAGGTGTGGAATATCTTTAAACCTGGGTTACATGAAAACAGGTGTGGAATATCTTTAAACCTGGGTTACATGAAAACAGGTGTGGAATATCTTTAAACCTGGGTTACATGAAAACAGGTGTGGAATATCTTTAAACCTGGGTTACATGAAAACAGGTGGGGAATATCTATAAACCTGGGTTACATGAAAACAGGTGTGGAATATCTTTAAACCTGGGTTACATGAAAACAGGTGTGGAATATCTATAAACCTGGGTTACATGAAAACAGGTGGGGAATATCTATAAACCTGGGTTACATGAAAACAGGTGTGGAATATCTTTAAACCTGGGTAACATGAAAACAGGTGTGGAATATCTTTAAACCTGGGTTACATGAAAACAGGTGGGGAATATCTATAAACCTGGGTTACATGAAAACAGGTGGGGAATATCTATAAACCTGGGTTACATGAAAACAGGTGTGGAACATCTTTAAACCTGGGTTACATGAAAACAGGTGTGGAACATCTTTAAACCTGGGTTACATGAAAACAGGTGTGGAACATCTTTAAACCTGGGTTACATGAAAACAGGTGGGGAATATCTATAAACCTGGGTTACATGAAAACAGGTGGGGAATATCTATAAACCTGGGTTACATGAAAACAGGTGGGGAACATCTATAAACCTGGGTTACATGAAAACAGGTGGGGAACATCTATAAACTTGGGTTACTTGAAAACAGGTGGGGAACATCTATAAACCTGGGTTACATGAAAACAGGCGGGGAATATCTATAAACCTGGGTTACATGAAAACAGGTGGGGAACATCTATAAACCTGGGTTACATGAAAACAGGCGGGGAACATCTATAAACCTGGGTTACATGAAAACAGGTGGGGAACATCTATAAACCTGGGTTACATGAAAACAGGTGGGGAACATCTACAAACCTGGGTTACATGAAAACAGGTGTGGAACATCTATAAACCTGGGTTACATGAAAACAGGTGGGGAACATCTACAAACCTGGGTTACATGAAAACAGGTGTGGAACATCTATAAACTTGGGTTACATGAAAGCAGGTGAGGAACATCTATAAACCTGGGTTAAATGAAATAGGTGGGGAACATCTATAACCTGGGTTACATGAAAACAGGTGGGGAACATCTATAATCCTGGGTTAAATGAAAACAGGTGGGGAACATCTATAAACCTGGGTTAAATGAAAACAGGTGTGGAACATCTATAAACCTGGGTTACATGAAAACAGGTGGGGAACATCTATAAACCTGGGTTACATGAAAACAGGTGGGAAACATCTATAAACTTGGGTTACATGAAAACAGGTGTGGAACATCTATAAACCTGGGTTACATGAAAACAGGTGGGGAACATCTATAAACCTGGGTTAAATGAAAACAGGTGGGGAACATCTATAAACCTGGGTTACATGAAAACAGGTGGGAAACATCTATAAACCTGGGTTAAATGAAAACAGGTGGGGAACATCTATAAACCTGCGTTACATGAAAACAGGTGTGGAACATCTATAAACCTGGGTTAAATGAAATAGGTGGGGAACATCTATAAACCTGGGTTACATGAAAACAGGTGTGGAACATCTATAAACCTGGGTTACATGAAAACAGGTGGGGAACATCTATAAACCTGGGTTACATGAAAACAGGTGTGGAACATCTATAAACCTGGGTTACATGAAAACAGGTGGAGAACATCTATAAACCTGGGTTACATGAAAACAGGTGTGGAACATCTATAAACCTGGGTTACATGAAAACAGGTGGGGAATATCTATAAACCTGGGTTACATGAAAACAGGTGGGGAATATCTATAAACCTGGGTTACATGAAAACAGGTGGGGAACATCTATAAACCTGGGTTACATGAAAACAGGTAGGGAACATCTATAAACCTGGGTTAGATGAAAACAGATGTGGAACATCTATAAACCTGGGTTACATGAAAACAGGTGGGGAACTTCTATAACGCTGGGTTACATGAAAACAGGTGTGGAACATCTATAAACCTGGGTTACATGAAAACAGGTGTGGAACATCTATAAACCTGGGTTACATGAAAACAGGCGGGGAACATCTATAAACCTGGGTTACATGAAAACAGGTGGGGAACATCTATAAACCTGGGTTACATGAAAAAGGTGGGGAACATCTATAACCTGGGTTACATGAAAACAGGTGGGGAACATCTATAACCCTGGGTTACATGAAAACAGGTGGGGAACATCTATAAATCATGGTTACATGAAAACAGGTGTAGAACATCTATAAACCTGGGTTAAATGAAATAAGTGTGGAACATCTATAACCTGGGTTACATGAAAAGAGGTGGGGAACATCTATAACCCTGGGTTACATGAAAACAGGTGGAGAACATCTATAACCCTGGGTTACATGAAAACAGGTTGGGAACATCTATAAACCTGGGTTAAATGAAATAGGTGGAGAACATCTATAAACCTGGGTTACATGAAAACAGGTGAGGAACATCTATAAACCTGGGTTACATGAAAACAGGTGAGGAATATCTATAAACCTGGGTTACATGAAAACAGGTGTGGAACATCTTTAAACCTGGGTTACATGAAAACAGGTGGGGAATATCTATAACCCTGGGTTACATGAAAACAGGTTTGGAACATCTATAAACCTGGGTTAAATGAAATAGGTGGAGAACATCTATAAACCTGGGTTAAATGAAATAGGTGGAGAACATCTATAAACCTGGGTTACATGAAAACAGGTGTTGCACATGTATTTTTCAGGGTGTCATGAAAACAGATTGGGCGAAATGGTAACATTCTAGTTATTACTAAATATTTTTTGATTTTTTAAATTTTCCATAGTGTTCATCCTCGGGTGATTACAAACAATCATACCAAGTTTTGTCAAAATCAGTCAAGAATTGTGCCTTCTAGAGTGTTTACGACCTCCCCATTTCACGTGGACGTATAAAAATGAATGGTCACTGACTTATGCGTGTATAGGCCTAATATTTCCTTTATTTGTCTATGATTAAAATGCAACATAAGAAAAAATGTCGATTAAATATCTAGTAAATACATACACGATGCAATTTGAAAATTTAATCAAACAGAAATTAAAAGGAGAAATTGTTGACTGTAAGGTGAGAATTTTATTGTTTCTCAGCAAAATCAAATTCCAATGGAACCTGTAAAATATTTCTTCCACACCGACCGCTACCATAAGGCATTTAGGCCCAAATAAACTTAAACATATACCGCCGTTAGGATTGGGTTCAAGCTGTAACATTTTAGGCATCGGACGGATGGTGATATTTCCTGTTTGAAAAGGGAGGTAACCAAATAAATATACGTCATCAATCCATAAAAACGGGGTGACGTGTGCTGCGTGAAACAGTTCTCGAATGACATCACCAGTCATTATGACGACAAAGCCTTGACAATATGTCCACGGCCAGTTTGTCACTCCTACAAATTGAGACTCCGGCACTGTCCATTTTCCATCTCTGAATATCTGACCGTCATATATCGGAGTACAAAACATCGATCGTGTTGAATTGAAAGCCTCCAGATTGTCTAGAAATCTCCACATATCAAATATGACGTCATCATCAACTTTGATGACGTAGTCCACATTATTACAATAATTCAGAATCCACCGGAAGCCCATGATACCTTTGTTGGTCAAATTATGGTATGTATCAATAAATTGTCCCTGAATTATGTCGCCATATTGGGTATGTTCCTCTTGAATTTTCTCCTGAATCTTCAGATTTTGTACAATTCCCACTAAAAACACAACTCGGACTTCGGTGGGAAGAAATAGCTTTTTGGATCCGTAAGTTGACCGGATGTTACGTCTACGTTCAAAATGTTGAGCAGCCGTGTGTACGAGAACGAGAGCCGTGACATATCGGTCACGTGGACAAATATTTGGATTGTTTAAAACAAAACCACCAGTTAAAGTCACTGGGTACGTCACTTCCGAATCAGAACTGGAATCAATTGTTTTTGTAGACGACAATTCAATGTTTAGATAAGAAAAATACGACACGCATAGAACACAGAGTAACACCAGTATTTTGATTATCTTTAAATGTTTCATTTTCACTTTTACAAAATCTAATTCCATCAAGTAGAAAAAAGTTTCTTTACAATTCTCTTTCACCGTGATTATTTCCAACATCTGATTCCAAATTCTTCTAATCTACGCCAATAGCTGAGTTAATTTCATCTGAAATAAAAATAGAAAAAAACATCATCAGCGCAGTCCGAGAAGATGACTGACAATCGACAACAATTAATTAAACAAAAGGATAAATTCACAAATTCTTAACTGTCAATAGTCTTTAGAAGTACTGGAAAAACCAAAACTAGCAGGAATTTTACTTTATATTTGTAAGAATGTGTTTTCTATATATGGCAAAGTCTCCAGAAAAGACAAGTCGTCATTTTAACTTTCAATCGCTGATAATTCTGGACACACATGATTTTGAAAGCTCAAATTGCGACGGTGAGCAGTGAATCCTTGAAATATTTCAAGGGAATTAACCCTCATTTCTTTGGTAATAAAAGGTCATGAAAGGAGTTTTGTCTTACTATACCGTACCATACTGAACTTGTTAATGTTATGCAGTGTACACTAAGGTAAATTTTAGAGGATAATAAAAACTCCACTTGCCTTGACAAAATCATTACAATCATTTCTAAATGTTTATATTTTTATGTTGATCACTAATCACTAATGTTGCTGTATTACTGAATAAATCAGAACTCACTGACGACACAGATGTAGTATATTTGTCAATAATCACGTGACCTCACAGGATTTTACAAAATTGGCAGAATTAGTTAAATTAATATTGAATTTTGACAGCAGATGTTAAATACTGTAATATAAATTAAAATATTGGAAATTAAATTTTCTACCGATTGTTTTCATAGTAACAAGCTTTTTCAGTTTCCATAATGAGCATAAAACGGATTTTTTTTGTTGCTAAACCTGAAGTGAAATTTTGCAAAATGTGGATAAAAATTGTTTAAGATCCGTAGAGTTTTTTTGTTGACCTATTTTTCTCATTTTCTTATTATGTAGAATTGAAAAAGATAACAAATTGGAACCAAAAATGAACGAACTACGCCATCGAGTTGGAATGTTTAGGCTATAGACAGAATGTACAAGATATAGACAGAATGTACAAGATATAGACAGAATGTACAAGATATAAACAGAATGTACAAGATATAGACAGAATGTACAAGATATAGACAGAATGTACAAGATATAGACAGAATGTACAGGCTATAAACAGAATGTACAAGATATAGACAGAATGTACAAGATATAAACAGAATGTACAAGATATAGACAGAATGTACAAGATATAGACAGAATGTACAGGCTATAAACAGAATGTACAAGATATAGACAGAATGTACAGGCTATAAACAGAATGTACAAGATATAGACAGAATGTACAAGATATAGACAGAATTTACAAGATATAGACAGATGTACAAGATATAAACAGAATGTACAGGCTATAGACAGAATGTACAGGCTATAAACAGAATGTACAAGATATAGACAGAATGTACAAGATATAGACAGAATGTACAGGCTATAAACAGAATGTACAAGATATAGACAGAATGTACAGGCTATAAACAGAATGTACAATATATAGACAGAATGTACAAGATATAGACAGAAAGTACAAGATATAGACAGAATGTACAAGATATAGACAGAATGTACAAGATATAGACAGAATGTACAAGATATAGACAGAATGTATAAGAAATAGACAGAATGTACAGGCTATAAACAGAATGTACAAGATATAGACAGAATGTACAAGATATAGACAGAATGTACAGGCTATAAACAGAATGTACAAGATATAGACAGAATGTACAAGATAGAGACAGAATGTACAGGCTATAAACAGAATGTACAAGATATAGACAGAATGTACAAGATATAAACGGAATGTACAAGATATAGACAGAATATACAGGATATAGACAGAATGTAGAAGATATAAACAGAATATACAAGATATAGACAGAATGTAAATATAACAAGTTACAAATATAACAAGATATACAATTATAACAAGATATACAAATATAACAAGATATACAAATATAACAAGATACAAATATAACAAGATATACAATTATAACAAGATATACAGTTATAACAAGATACAAATATAACAAGATATACAATTATAACAAGATATACAAATATAACAAGATATACAAATATAACAAGATATACAGTTATAACAAGATATACAAATATAACAAGATATACAAATATAACAAGATACAAATATAACAAGATACAAATATAACAAGATATACAAATATAACAAGATATACAAATATAACAAGATATACAAATATAACAAGATATACAAATATAACAAGATATACAATTATAACAAGATATACAAATATAACAAGATATACAGTTATAACAAGATACAAATGTAACAAGATATACAAATATAATAAGATATACAAATATAACAAGATATACAGTTATAACAAGATATACAAATATAACAAGATATACAAATATAACAAGATACAAATATAACAAGATACAAATATAACAAGATATACAATTATAACAAGATATACAGTTATAACAAGATACAAATATAACAGGATACAAATATAACAAAATATACAATTATAACAAGATACAAATATAACAAGATATACAAATATAACAAGATATACAATTATAACAAGATATACAAATATAACAAGATACAAATATAACAAGATACAAATATAACAAGATACAAATATAACAAAATATACAATTATAACAAGATACAAATATAACAAGATATACAAATATAACAAGATATACAATTATAACAAGATACAAATATAACAAGATATACAATTATAACAAGATATATAAATATAGCAAGATATATAAATATAACAAGCTACACAAATATATACAAAAAGGTATACTTGAAGTATGTTCAAAATGAAGACCGCAATTTTTTTTCCTCTAAGAACTTTTTTGATTTTGAAAATGTCGTCCTCATTGGCCATTAGTTCAATGAAAGGGAAGAATATTGTGGGTCCCTCGGAATGTTTTTAGTATATTCTCCCTGTACTCTAGAACCCCTCTATGAGGCAAGTTATTGTCTGTTAATAGAAGATTTAAAAATTTTCAGTGTGTTGTTAATGCCATTTCACTCTTTTATATATCAATAGTTGCTTAATTTAATTATTATTTTATAGATTTGTATTTAGGGGGCCCGTGGACTTGATTTAAGCCACCTGATACCACTTTTCATTCTGAAATACTTACTCAATTATTATTGATATACTTCCTCATGTGAAAAGTTCCTTAGCTGCTACCAATCATTCAACAAAATGTAGTTTCGGGTTTCGTTTTGCAGTTCCCTGTGAGTACAGGGAGATTACTTGAGGGAATATTGAACATGATATAAATGGAGTTTTACGTCCTATTCTTATGATCCTTATTATGGTGATAAAAACGGGGGAGGGAGGGAGGGAGGGAGGGAGGGATTATTGGAGGCAATATGAGACATCTGTAGAGAAGACAAGTTAATTAAGGTTAAATCAATTATCAGAAGGTCGCCAATCAATAAACCTAATAATTTATTTATTGTATTTTTCTTACCTGGCTGGTAATTACAGGAGATTGTGAGATTCTATATTTTACCGTGGATCAACACGACATTGGTTAATCTTTATCATACTTGGACATTTTAGATCGAGGAATGACTCCAACCTTACTCTACTGCACAGGGACTCGGAGATATTTTACTAATGGATTTAAACTCAATGTAGAATTGAAAGGAAATTGAATATTAGTATTGGGAAATATTGATATGTTAGATTAGAATTATTAGGATTAGTGAAGAGAAATTCTGAAATGTGAAAGTGTTTTCTAAAGGGAGTTAATCCAGTTTATTTATTTTATCTTTATGTCATGTGGAATATCTGAAGCTTCAATTTACAATGGCAGGATTTTAAACCCTTCATTCAGGGTTATTCATTTCACTTTTAAGCGTAAAACTTCATTTCATTTGATTTTGTGTTGAAAGAGAATATTTGTTCGTGTTTGAAAGTTTGATGCCTCTGATTTTCTATAAATGTAAAAAGTCGAAATGAAACATAAAAAGATAATCAAGATACTGGTGATACTTTGTATTTTAACTGTGTTGTATTTTTATAACTTAAATATTAACTTATCAATTATTTTAAATATCTCCACTAAACAATTTGAGTTAAAAACTGATTCGGAAGTGACGTACCCGGTGACTTTATCTGGTGAATTTGTTTTAAACAATCTAACCATTTGTCCACGTGACCGATATGTCACGGCTCTCGTTCTCGTACACACGGCTGCTCAACATTTTGAACGTAGACGTAACATCCGGTCAACTTACGGATCCAAAAAGCTATTTCTTCCCACCGAAGTCCGAGTTGTGTTTTTAGTGGGAATTGTACAAAATCTGAAGATTCAGGAGAAAATTCAAGAGGAACATACCCAATATGGCGACATAATTCAGGGACAATTTATTGATACATACCATAATTTGACCAACAAAGGTATCATGGGCTTCCGGTGGATTCTGAATTATTGTAATAATGTGGACTACGTCATCAAAGTTGATGATGACGTCATATTTGATATGTGGAGATTTCTAGACAATCTGGAGGCTTTCAATTCAACACGATCGATGTTTTGTACTCCGATATATGACGGTCAGATATTCAGAGATGGAAAATGGACAGTGCCGGAGTCTCAATTTGTAGGAGTGACAAACTGGCCGTGGACATATTGTCAAGGCTTTGTCGTCATAATGACTGGTGAAGTCATTCGAGAACTGTTTCACGCAGCACACGTCACCCCGTTTTTATGGATTGATGACGTATATTTATTTGGTTACCTCCCTTTTCAAACAGGAAATATCACCATCCGTCCAATGCCTAAAATGTTACAGCTTGAACCCAATCCTGAAGGTGGTTTATGTTTAAGTGTAGCTGGGTCTGAATGTCCTATGGTAGCGGTCGGTGTGGAAGAAAAAATGTTCAAGTTCCATTGGAAGATGATTTTGCTGAGAAACAACAAAACCTTCTCCTGACTATTTTCTATATCACAATTTCTTATTTTTATCGACATTTTTAAAAAATTGATTGCATTTTAATAACAGATTATTAAAGAAATTGTCAGAAAACTTGTTTGCAATCGATTTACTTGGTAGAATAGAAAATAAACTTTTGTGGTCTGTATTGAATCAAGTAGCAGTTATCCCCCTTATGCCTTTTAAAATCTGATTTTACAACCAATATGATTGGTACAGTACACTAGTTTCCTGTGGTCAGTGAGGCTAGAACAAATTTACATCTCTAACTAACAGATTTAATAGTTCATATTTCGAAGAGATCATCCAATTATTTAAACCATAGATTTTTGGAAATGTGTTATCAATAGACTTCGAACAGATCTTTTAAAGTGGCAAACCTAAAACTGGACTAGAACATACCAAACTATCATGTCTAACTAGCTAGCAGATTGCTTGGTATAATGACAGTTTTCTGTGGTTAGAATGAGACTAGAGTATACCAAACTATCATGTCTAACTAGCTAGCAGATTGCTTGGTATAATGACAGTTTTCTGTGGTTAGAATGGGACTAGAACATACCAAACTATCGTGTCTAACTAGCTAGTAGATTGCTTGGTATAATGACAGTTTTCTGTGGTTAGAATGAGACTAGAGTATACCAAACTATCATGTCCAACTAGCTAGTAGATTGTTTGGTATAATGACAGTTTTCTGTGGTTAGAATGAGAAGAGAGTATACCAAACTATCATGTCTAACTAGCTAGTAGATTGCTTGGTATAATGACAGTTTTCTGCAGTCAGAATGAGACTAGAACATACCAAACTATCATGTCTAACTAGCTAGTAGATTGCTTGGTATAATGACAGTTTTCTGTGGTCAGAATGAGACTAGAGTATACCAAACTATCATGTCTAACTAGCTAGTAGATTGCTTGGTATAATGACAGTTTTCTGTGGTCAGAATGAGACTAAAGTATACCAAACTATCGTGTCTAACTAGTTAGTAGATTGATTGGTACAATGACAATCTTCTGTGGTCAGAATGAGACTAGAGTATACCAAACTATCGTGTCTAACTAGCTAGTAGATTGTTTGGTATAATGGCAGTTTTCTGTAGTCAGAATGAGACTAGAACATACCAAACTATCTTGTCTAACTAGCTAGTAGATTGTTTGGTACAATGACAGTTTTCTGCAGTCAGAATTGGGCTAGAGTATACTAAACTATCGTATCTAACTAGCTAGTAGATTGATTGGTACAATGACAGTTTTCTGCAGTCAGAATTGGGCTAGAGTATACTAAACTATCGTGTCTAACTAGCTAGTAAATTGATTGGTACAATGACAGTTTTCTGTGGTCAGAATGAGACTAGAGTATACTAAACTATCGTGTCTAACTAGCTAGTAGATTGTTTGGTATAATGAAAGTTTTCTGTGGTCAGAATGGGGCTAGAGTATACCAAACTATCGTGTCTAACTAGCTAGTAGATTGTTTGGTACAATGACAGTTGTCTGTGGTCAGAATGGGGCTAGAGCATACCAAACTATCATGTCCAACTAGCTAGAAGATTGCTTGGTATAATGACAGTTTTCTGTAGTCAGAATGAGACTAGAACATACCAAACTATGGTGTCTAACTAGCTAGTAAATTGATTGGTACAATGACAGTTTTCTGTGGTCAGAATGAGACTAGAGTATACTAAACTATCGTGTCTAACTAGCTAGTAGATTGTTTGGTACAATGACAGTTTTCTGTGGTCAGAAGTAGATAAGAACAAACCAAACTCTGTCACCCAATTATGTAGCAGATTTTCTGTGACCAGAATGAAGAGGGTTCAGATATAAATATAGATATCCCACAAAAAAAAAAACATCTAAAAAACTGACTAAAATTTATTTACTGTAATTCAAACAATACAAGTTGAACTAATTAAAATAAAGCAACATTTCAATTCAAATCAGAAAATATAAGAAAATATTCAGTTTGATTTAATATTTTCTGATAAATAGGACCCTTTCCCTCGCTGAATATATTTTCCTCGTATACGTTAAGGCTCTATTGTTACTTTCACAAATTGCCGAGGAGAAGAGAGCTGCATTTAACAGAAAATATAAATGGGAAATAAAAACTAAATGAACACAAACAAGTAAAATAAAGATATTCGCTAAATTTCTCTAAATTTCATCTTAACATTTGCATAGTTTAACACTATTTTGGTATAATTTTTGCAAACATTTAAAGTTTAAATTTGAAGAAAATCAAGATGAAGTGATGAAAGATTATTATATATTAACTCTATACGACTTGATCTTAAAACTAAATTTAATCTAGATCTTTATAAACACATGACAACAATTTTACACAGTGACAGAAACCAGAGAGACAATTTCATTAACTATAGATACTTTTAGAATTCCAGTCATCTGATTGGTCGAATAATTTTGAATTATTTTATATGCACCAATCAGAAAGCAGCTGTTTATTCGAGTTAAAATTTTGAAACACAGGACACATGGCAAAATCTGGTTATATTCGGTTGTTAACAATCTGAGCGAGAATACTATAGAAAATAAACAGTGTTTAGATGAAACCAGTCTACTTCATTATATCGAGATGTAGATCTTAACCAATTACATTATCACTCTGTCTATCAAAAGCCGACTCCATCCTACAGACTGATATTTGAAAAAAAAAAACGAGCAAGTTTTCCCCGTTTACACGACCAGCGTATGAACGAACCTTCTGATGTCACAAAGGTTAATAAAACTCGTTTTCTTCCAAATTTCAGACTCACGGAATCAACTTCTTCATCCAATCAGCATTGGATAAATCGTTTCTACTGAGTGGATATTTCTTCATTTAGAATATCTCAATCACGTGACGTTTTGACTGACAGCTAGTGATAGACTCTAAGTAAGTCTCCGACCGTCAACATGTTTTCACAACAAATTTACTTAACATAATCTAACAAACTATTACACAAATAACTATCATAGATCTTGTCCTGATGAGGACAGTGTATCTGAAACATTGTGTCAACAGCAGGAAATGATCCCTTATCAATAAGTATCCTACCTACTTGGAACCAATAACTTTTTATAATTTGATTCGATTCAACAATAGTGACTTAAAAACACAAATATTACAATTGAAATTCAGAATGTTAATGTCAATACAAGATTAAACTAAATAATCCACGACCAGCGTTTCTGTGACCAGTTAGAATAAAGGTGTACTAAGAGAGAAACATTTTAAGAGAAGTTTTGTTATCTTGGAATAAATTGGGGTGCTACTAAAGAAAATACAATAAAAGTTATTGTTCTATAGAACACTCTAGGCAGTAAAAGATCAAATAAATTCTGTAAGTTTGTGGTGACAAATCAAAAATTCTAAATTTTGAAAATTTCACAAGAGATAGAGCAACTTTCATTTATGGAAATCGACCTGCGATTTAACCGAGAAATTGCTCGTATCTCCAAAACATTGACAAAATTCAAATTGTTGATGAAAATCAAGATAAAATCAAAAACAATAATATATACGTCGTCATCTTCGCTTTATCATAAATTTCTTCTAATTGGATAAATGTTCTATAGTCACGATCCCGACCATTCGTTTTATACGTCTGGATAAAACATCCGAAGTACAGACTGACCAGACTGATCATTCAAATTATTTGATTCGAGGCGCATAAAACAATCTTTCTATAGTCCAGTTCATCCAGACGTTACCATTTGAAAGTAAGATTGGAAATCCATCATGTAGTTCCGGTTAACCAGACTTACTTCCAGTGAGCTTAAGTCAAGGACGCAGATAGAAACAGACGATCAAGCGAAGATGACTTTATATCTACTGCACCGTATATGTATGAAGCTATGAAAATAGATAGAAATATAATATATGATAATATATTCAAAATTATGCACGCTATCTCAAATCAAATAAATCACTTCCATATAAGGCACACAATGACGTCATTTTCCTAGAGCAGATAACTCTAATAATACTTAAACCATTTCTCAATCCAGATTTTCCTGTCTTTAATATAGTCCCGATCAACGGGAAATCAAACAAATGAAAATTGAAACACAATAAAAGTTTTCACCGACCGGCAGTATAAATGTTATTTTTCGTTTAAAAACGTCATAACCACTAAGAGAGGGAATATTTTACAGTTCGTCCTGCGAACCAAAAATTAACAATAATAAATCTCAGCATTATATCCAATGAACACCGATTTTGTATCAAATGCCGTCCCGCAGCAAACCACTGTTTTTATCCAATGGTTATTAAGCTAACAATGGCAATATGCCATACAAGGAACATCTGTAAGTGGAGCTTACACAAGGTTTTCTATTGGGAGTCTTTGATGAGGCTTCGGGAACCTGCAATGGAAATAAGGATTAGTTATATTATAAATCATATGGAATGGAGTTTTACGCCCTACTTTTCTGCATGCTCGATTATAGACATTTGGAAAAAGAACAGATGTAAGTTAAAGAAAATGTCCATTATATCCACAAGTCATCTCCCGGTAAGAGATGCCGAGTCGGTTACCCACAATACGTAATACACAATTATTAGCTATGTGGACACTCCGGGATGGATACTTATTCGACTGAAGTAGAAAATAAACATATTTAACTATATGGACTCTGTGATAGTAATGTGGAGTTGACAAATCTAAATATCCAATAAAAATACTGTTGAGTCTATAATCGTCAGAAAACACCCTTACCTGAGCTAGGAACAAGTTCTTTCAGAAGGCGATGCAAGTGATTGAGTTCGGATTCTTCAGGCATTGGGTCACCGGGAAAATGAGCCTGTTGAAGAGCTTCAAATTCATCTCGAATAGTTCCTACATCCACAGTGAGCGCCATGGGCGACGAGTTCAACTCATCCAGTAATTCTTCTTCGGACAGCTCTGAGGAGTAGCAAGGTCCAGGCGAGAAGACCTCGGAGATTGTGGACACCGGTGAAGGCACGCTATGGTGTGGGCTTTGTGACTGCATAGACTGTGTTGATGTATATTGGGATCTATAACAAGAATTAGCTGCCATCAAGGGAACCTCTATAGGCTCTTGTTTGATACACATGACTGGTGGTTGAGGAAGAGAGCAAGGTTTCACATCAATCCAGTTTAAAAATTCTTCTAAATCATCTGAGTCTAAATCAGGCAGACTTGGCTTCTTCTCGAGTTTAATCATCGGTTTGGGAGGAGCCACCTTTTTCTCTCCTGGAATCAGCTCGTCAAAGAAGGACTCAATATCCAAAGGGTCAATGAAAGGCAGCCCTTTTCGTTTTCTCTTCATGCCAGTCTTTTCAGTCTTTTCATTTCTCTCAACTTCCCGGAATTGCTGAATCTTGGACAAGTCTTCAAGGATATCGAAAGAGTTGTCTATAGATGCATTACCATCACTTGAAGATTTGTGTTCTGGGCTAGAAGCGGGTGAAGCTTCAGGAGTCAGGAACGATTCCGGGATCTGTAGACATGGATCAGGGACCACTTGTTCCAACTGGAGATTTGGACTCAGGCAGGATGATTGATTCATCATCCGGGGTTCCACCATCACGTTCTTCTTCGTCAGGGAGGGGGAGCTGGACACTGCATAGTTATTGACGGACATAACTTGCGTGTTCGACTGTCCAAAGGGTTCAAATGAAAGAGAAGCATCATTAAAGGGTTCGAAAGAGCCGAAGAAGAAGTTGGATGAAATCCCGAGTCCAAATTCACCGTGGAAGGTCTCTGGTTTTTCTGTTCTGTCAGTGCGTGGTATTTTTGCTGGCTTACACTGGCTAGTTATTTTCTTCTGAAGCATTTGTTTGACCTTCTCAGTATGGATCGAGGTGGCTGTGGAAGGCTGGGCAGGGCGGCCTCGACGATGACTCATGTAATTCTGTTGGTTCATCTGCTCGGGGAATCCAGGTTGAGAGTGTCTTAAAGTTGAAAACTGTCCAAAGTTTGATGTGTTAGGCATCCATTGAGTGGTTTGTGGTTGCGTTTGAATATTGCCCACACCGTGTGTCCACAAATCTCCGGTTCTCGACGGGTAAATACTGAACGAGTTGCTCTGAAGTTTGAACTGGTAGGCTTCTTGCTCACTGAAATAAGAAAAGAATTAATTGAAGAAGATATTCTATTCAAATTGCCAAAATGAAATATGATTTTTCAATTCAATTTGGTTCCTGTACATCAAATCAAATGTAATTCTGTGTTCTGTTGGCAATGTTGAATATATTGGTTATTGATATTGAAATGACACATCTTTTCTCAATCTCGATTTTCAACCACAGAGTTATTGATTGCTTTCATCTCAGACACATTTTATAACGAAGCTAAATAGAGTTACCTGACCTTACCACTAGAAAAGGGAAATGGGAAATCACTCACCTGACGACTTGATTGATGCAGACTATAACAGGCTCATCATTCGAAGCTACAGCAGCTTGTCTCACGTGCATCACCATATTTATCCATATAACAGAACCATCAGCTCTGAGTATGCGTAAAATAGCCATACATCCCATTTCATGACTTGATCTGATCACTATGGAAACATAAGCATAAAAATAAAATGCCAGTGCCTTCGGTTGAAAAATAACTTGTTACTTTTGACATTTTAGAATATATATAGGTATAAATATAAGAATATACGTGAAGATCGCATAGCATTATAACTCTGGGTGACAAGAGGATATCAGTTCTTTTTTAATATTTTCATGTAAAAATATATATGATACAACGTGAAACTGACTGAGTTTCACAATTCAAGGTTGATTACTGATATTTTAATTTAATTATTTAACCAGATAAAATAGGGTGATAAACCTTGAACAATAATCAATTTCAAAAGTCGCTCAGAACATTGGTGTATCTAACAATAACTCTTGATCTAATAATAACTCTTGATCTAATAATAACTCTTGATCTAATAATAACTCTTGATCTAATAATAACTCTTGATCTAACTATAACTCTTGATCTAACAATAACTCTTGATCTAACAATAACTCTTGATCTAATAATAACTCTTCATCTAATAATAACTCTTCATCTAACAATAACTCTTGATCTAACAATAACTCTTGATCTAATAATAACTCTTGATCTAACAATAACTCTTGATCTAATAATAACTCTTGATCTAACAATAACTCTTGATCTAACAATAACTCTTGATCTAACAATAACTCTAGATCTAACAATAACTCTTGATCTAATAATAACTCTTAATCTAATAATAACTGTTGATCTAATAATAACTCTTGATCTAATAATAACTCTTGATCTAACAATAACTCTTAATCTAATAATAACTCTTGATCTAACAATAACTCTTGATCTAATAATAACTCTTGATCTAACAATAACTCTTGATCTAACAATAACTCTTGATCTAACAATAACATTTAATAATATTAATGAAAAAAAAAACAAAATAAACAAAACCATGTGACTTACATTGAACATGTTTTTCTCTGGCCACGTGAATATCTTCAGGATGTAGCATATTATACCACGACTTCCGGCTTATTTCCTCATTTGTGTATCCCAGATGATGTTCCGCACTGAAAAAATAGTTCCAATTTGGAATTATTTATCAACAATAACATTAATCGTTTCAATGTAGAAAGATGAATGATTAATGCCTCCTTCAAATCTATAAATCTAAAAATCTCGTGAACACAAGATTCCGACTTTCGCGTTTCAACTGAGTTATGTCCCTTGTGTAGAAACCACAAGTATGCCAAAACGAACAAAATCTGAAATATTAAGCTAAAATACTCACGTTTCTGTGATTTCGACAAACGTCATATCGAGATTATGAACAGTTCTAAAGATCATAGTGTTATTCTGCACCATGTTTTCCTTCAATTCGGGTGTAATCAGCGGAGTACAGGTTGCTGTAAATACATACTGTATATCATTGGTTGTTTCATGTACAGGTACTTTCTTAAAATGTCCACGCACGTGCATTATCTGAAAATAGAACAAACATCATTTTTATAATCAGGTCTGCACGTACACGATCTGACATCTGTAAATAGCATTGTTTTAAAGAATGGTGAAGAAATTTATATGTATCTCAGCTTCTATTTGCGTCATTCCAATTTTCCGACAGATATCTGTGGTTCCAATTTTCAGTTTCAATAATTGTATATGTCGTCACTATAACAAAAACTGTTCATAATATCTATCTTTTTTGATAGCTAAGTTTACATGTAGTTGAAATGGAATTACAGGAAAACAAACCCCCCAAAAAATAATGGTTGTATCATCACCATGTACTGAGAAAAATGTGACTAGCAATTAATATTGAGATAATTGTTAATTACTCGAGCATCATGACTTGTTTAAATTTACTTTCTTTTAGAATTTATAACATTTATATTTTCTATTTCACTGAAATTGCAACAATATTACACTTTTAAAGTTAAAAACTGGGTCATTATAAATACGAAAAAAGATTGTGCTAACTCAACACCGTGACGAAACAAATTCTTGTAATCTATATAACTAATAATACTGTATTAATATAACATGATTATGACATCATCTAAATATGAGTAATAACAGAGGTATTTTCTCTTCTTATATTCTATATATTGGTTTAAAACATTAATAAACCAACGAACCAGCCGGGAGTAATCTATGGAGCTAAAATGATCATTGGTAATATCAATGATTATCAAATTTCACACAAAGGAAAGAAAGTCGACTACAAGCTGAGATCATTGTCATAGAATTCATTATGTAGTTTACATGTAGTGATATACTTCTAGCCCACGTCTATTTAAAAAACAAATATATTACAGTAATCAGTTAAAACTTTACAAATTCAAATATTAAAATAATCAAAAATTTTAACTAATTTTACTCAAATAAAACAATTATTGTAATTCAATCACAATAGGAAATAGAAATTGATTTGTCATCACAATAGTTCAATTTAGATTCAAAACATCTCTTTTATCTTGGTAAAACAAAATCTTGTATTTTTTTCTTTTCTTCAAAACACAATTGTATATTTCAGGATATTTTTCCAACCTCCGATTTGGAATTTGTCTTTTATTAATATCTTTTATTTTGAGAAATATAATTTGTGTATTTTGAGAAATTTGAATTAATTTGTATGTATCAAATAATCAAACAAAATAGAAAATTAGCTCTGGATATTTAATATCTGTTTGGGTTCTGACACAATATAATTCTCAATTTGATTAATACAAATCATCGAGGACAACAAAAATAAATTGTATTTAATATCGTATCTGTCTAATTCTAAAGACAACAATGGATATATTTTTCTTAATGTTGTGTCGATCTATTTCTATTTATACGCCAAGTTAAGCACCAAATATAGTCAACATTTCGTATGTCGTATAAATAATGCCTTTGGCATTGGTTTTCTTTTTTAATTGAGTGACATCAGACTATATAAACCAGTCAATTTAACAGAAACTGTCAGGTATTATAATATAACATAACAACAGCACTGTTAACCACTATCAACTTTACAGACCAGTCAATTTAACAGAAACTGTCAGGTATTATAATATAACATAACAACAGCACTGTTAACCACTATCAACTTTACAGACCAGTCAATTTAACAGAAACTGTCAGGTATTATAATATAACATAACAACAGCACTGTTAACCACTATCAACTTTATAGACCAGTCAATTTAACAGAAACTGTCAGGTATTATAATATAACATAACAACAGCACTGTTAACCACTATCAACTTTACAGACCAGTCAATTTAACAGAAACTGTCAGGTATTATAATATAAAATGATAACAACAACTGTTAACTACTATAAACTTTACAGACCATTCAATTTAACAGAAACTGTCAGGTATTATAATATAAAATGATAACAACAACTGTTAACTACTATCAACTTTACAGACCAGTCAATTTAACAGAAACTGTCAGGTATTATAATATAACATAACAACAGCACTGTTAACCACTATCAACTTTACAGACCAGTCAATTTAACAGAAACTGTCAGGTATTATAACATAACAACAGCACTGTTAACTACTATCAACTTTACAGACCAGTCAATTTAACAGAAACTGTCAGGTATTATAACATAACAACAGCACTGTTAACTACTATCAACTTTACAGACCAGTCAATTTAACAGAAACTGTCAGGTATTATAATATAAAATGATAACAACAACTGTTAACTACTATAAACTTTACAGACCAGTCAATTTAACAGAAACTGTCAGGTATTACATTATAAAATGATAACAACAACTGTTAACTACTATAAACTTTACAGACCAGTCAATTTAACAGAAACTGTCAGGTATTATAATATAACATAACAACGGCACTGTTAACCACTATCAACACTACAGACCAGTCAATTTAACAGAAACTGTCAGGTATTATAATATAACATAACAACAGCACTGTTAACCACTATCAACACTACAGACCAGTCAATTTAACAGAAACTGTCAGGTATTATAATATAACATTATAACAGCACTGTTAACCACTATCAACTTTACAGACCAGTCAATTTAACAGAAACTGTCAGGTATTATAATATAACATTATAACAGCACTGTTAACCACTATCAACACTACAGACCAGTCAATTTAACAGAAACTGTCAGGTATTATAATATAACATAACAACAGCAATGTTAACCACTATCAACTTAACAGACCAGTCAATTTAACAGAAACTGTCAGGTATTATAATATAAAAAGATAACAACAACTGTTAACTACTATAAACTTTACAGACCAGTCAATTTAACAGAAACTGTCAGGTATTATAATATAACATAACAACAGCACTGTTAACTACTATCAACTTTACAGATCAGTCAATTTAACAGAAACTGTCAGGTATGTTATACTGTAACTGTTCTAAAACGTAAGAGTGTTAATATGTAAAAGGTAATAACTCTTAGAAGTTTGTCATCATTTCAGAATATTTAATATAATGCCGAGTGTTTACCATCTTTTAAGTGGTATTTAGTATAGTAAGTAATAACTAGTATAATAAGTAATATCTAGTATAGTAAGTAATAACTAGTATAATAGGTAATATCTAGTATAATAAGTAATATCTAGTATAATAAGTAATATCTAGTATAATAAGTAATATCTAGTATAATAAGTAATATCTAGTATAATAAGTAATATCTAGTATAATAAGTAATATCTAGTATAATAGGTAATATCTAGTATAATAAGTAATATCTAGTATAGTAAGTAATAACTAGTATAATAAGTAATATCTAGTATAATAAGTAATATCTAGTATAATAAGTAATATCTAGTATAATAAGTAATATCTAGTATAATAAGTAATATCTAGTATAGTAAGTAATAACTAGTATAATAAGTAATATCTAGTATAGTAAGTAATATCTAGTGTAGTAAGTAATATCTAGTATAATAAGTAATATCTAGTATAATAAGTAATATCTAGTATAGTAAGTAATATCTAGTATAGTAAGTAATAACTAGTATAATAGGTAATATCTAGTATAGTAAGTAATAACTAGTATAATAAGTAATATCTAGTATAGTAAGTAATAACTAGTATAATAAGTAATATCTAGTATAATAAGTAATATCTAGTATAATAAGTAATATCTAGTATAATAAGTAATATCTAGTATAATAAGTAATATCTAGTATAATAAGTAATATCTCGTATAATAAGTAATATCTAGTATAGTAAGTAATAACTAGTATAATAAGTAATATCTTATATAATGAGTAATATCTAGTATAGTAAGTAATATCTAGTATAGTAAGTAATAACTAGTATAATAGGTAATATCTAGTATAGTAAGTAATAACTAGTATAATAATTAATATCTAGTATAATAAGTAATATCTAGTATAATAAGTAATATCTAGTATAGTAAGTAATAACTAGTATAATAAGTAATATCTAGTATAATAAGTAATATCTAGTATAATAAGTAATATCTAGTATAATAAGTAATATCTAGTATAGTAAGTAATAACTAGTATAATAAGTAATAACTAGTATAATAAGTAATATCTAGTATAATAAGTAATATCTAGTATAATAAGTAATATCTAGTATAAATAACTAGTATAATATATAATAAGTATTTCGTAATAATTTTTTCATATAACCTACACTGAGACAACTCTATACATAATAGATGGGCGTATTTTATATTTATTCTGAAGGAGCAGGATAAGACAAGAGGCTTTCTGTGTAACCCTCTCCTGGTTGTCAACTTGAGTAAACGATTCATGGTGATCGCCGTGTGGGTAAAATGCATAATAGTGGTGCCCAGAACCTAGTTTCAAAGAATAGGCCCTGAAAAAATTGTATTTTCATATATTGTAACGATTTCAGAGAGAAAAATATCACAAATGTTAAAATTATAAAATAATATTAGGAATTAGAATGTTATAGAAACATGGAGGTTAACGAAATGGGACGGAAGATGTTTTGGTTTTTTGGTCAGGCTTTCTTATTATCAATTTTTTCTTGCTACTCTGATTTCGGCTCTGATTTGAATCATACTTTCTATCAGGTTGACGTTGACTTTTCAACTTGCTGTAATTTCAACTGTAAAAGTTTATTGTATTCTGTGATATCTAATTTGTTTCTAATTTTTTGGATGAAGAAGGTTGGTTATGAAATATTTCAATCCTGCGTTATAAAAACTATATCAATATCATAAAAATCTAAATTACATTAAAACACTGGCAGTAACAAGTTATTAAATCTAAATAGAGTTATTCTCATGAGGAAATCTATAGTCTCTACTCTGATTTAGACAGCTCTTCTACACTGAATGCAGGTTTGTTTGAATCGGAATGGAAGTAATAAGTTGAATTAAAATCATAAATTGAAAATTAAATATACCCTTAACCCTTTCCAGATATTATAATTTTCACTCTACTTCCATCCCACCCTACACCGAAATGTGCCCGGGCTTTGACCTATACCAGAAGTGCCAAATTCAACCTAGACATTGTATCATTGTATCATTATACCGGATGTAGTCCCCATTCTAGATTAATGTAATATTACTTGTATCATGAACTGGTTCTAGATGAACTTTAAAGGTGAATAAATAAATTAGTTCATTAAAACTTGACACCTGTATATTACTAGTAGTTAAAAACCTGGCAACATCAACACATTTATAAACTGTTAGGTCCTGTTCAGTAGTGTGTTATATAGGATCAGATGATGACCTCACAACAATCGTCAATACCATGTGTTTCTCACCAAGATTGTTATTAGGTTTCAAGCTACAGTCTAACTTGTACCAACAGCCATCAGCATGACCCCTCAATCAACGACCAGTAAACATTCACCCCTGCAATCTACAACCGATTTTACTACAACAACTTGTTACGCCTGTCGTATTATCAAATTTCTTATATTCTTGGTTATATCTTAGTTAGGTTCTTGTGAAAGAGACTCTTTCTGTATCCTTTTGGTTTGTATGCGGTAAAGCGTAAAGCGACATAATACTTATCTTAACTGGCAAAGCACCTATCTCAGCCGACATAATGTCTTTCTAAACCCATATGATACTTTTTCGAAAGGGAAATGTACCATTAAAACTTTTAATTTGTAAATCAGTGACCACAAGTCGACAGAATCAATGACGTAAACACTCAGTGACCACAAGTCGACAGAATCAATGACGTAAACAACATGATAAAATATAATAATACTGTGAAATTAGAATCTAAACAAACCAACAGACATTGTAGTTTGCTATCAATATTAGTGAAATTATATTTTATCTCGTTAAATATACCATGTAATAAAACACTATACATTCAATACGTCATATAAACTCGTTATTTACCTGTTACTATGGCAACTAAAAGTCAGGTGAAAACATACAATATAATGTAACACAAGGTTTATTTTCTAGGTTTTCATTTGGAAAATGCCCTACATTTCAATTCTCACTGTGATTATGATAATAATATATAAGCTCTAGTTCTGTAATCTAACAGGACTATCAGTCATGTGATTTTGGGATTGACATTTTTCACAAAGAGTACTTGATATTAAGAAATCATCATGAAAAATCTTCACCATCTGATATCCTTTTTTTTTTACTTTTAAGGCACCAATTTAAACAATGTTTGAACACCGTATTTCTGACAATATCAACAGCCCATGTGACCACACTGGCTTCTTAAATTAATCAGTACATACCTTAACATCGCCGAAACCAGCTTGTCGTTTTAGACTTCTCGACATGTTCATCCTACAGTAAAAACTGATATCTTGGTTGATATCTGATGATTGTAGTTGTGTTTGTAAAGCACTGTGATCTCTCTTGTCCACTATATCATAAAGACTGTCACCTTGTGTTTTCATATCCACCTATAATATTGATCAAAACATATTATTTACTATTTTGTGTACATCACTTAACTTAAGGTCGAAACAGATAGTTTTCATTGCATCACCTATACATCTTGTGATATTTCCATTTTTTAAGAAAGATATTCTTTGTAATAAGAGTTTGCTTGTGTTTTTTTAAGGCCTTGTAAGTCTTTGTAAAATTCTGTAAAATATATAATGTACTCGAACATATAAGTTAAGATTTGATGGACTTGTATCAGAGAGTTCCGATCTTCAGTTAAAATGGGACCAGACAACAATTTAAACTCACCATAGAGTGTCCCAAGTAATCTGTTACATTCTCTGAGATGTAGAGTAGTTTTCCCTCTCTTGTGGTTACAAGTATAAAGCCAGTCAGGGCCTGAAATATATACACAAACTTGATAAGTTTTAAAGGAATAGACAAACATTGTATACGGATAATAGAATGGTTTAATAAAAAATGTAAAGGGTTACACATGCTATGTATAAGTTCTCCGACATCGTATCTCCTATAAGTAAATATCCACAAAAATTGATAAAGAATTGGGATGAAATGGGTTTTAACTACAAGTATCTGTGAAAACATTTAAGATTTCTATATTGTGCTTACTCTGCAGTGAATGTATATAAATCAAACATATATTTTAGAATCATTATAATGATAAAAGGGATTGTGTTGAAAGACAAATTCAGCCTCGAATCCAACATCAAGAGCTGTAGATGCTTGTAAGTTACGATGCTGTGCCATCGTTCAGAAGAGTCCTAGTAGCCTGCCGTAGCTCATAAAGTTATTTTGGTATTTATATTTTCAATCTAAAAGTTATCAAGTCAGATAATATTTTGATGCAACAAGGATGTGATAAAACATTATTTAATAAAAGTATCCGGAAGTCAAGTTCCGGTGTCAAGAAAATTTAACAGTCCCGCAGTTAAAATGTTAAATGACAGTAACGCAGAAAACGGAAACAGTTGACTGACAGTTCCCTGTAAGTCTCATCAAATTCACCAAGGCCTGGAACACACGGTGTATTTTTTCGGGTCATGTTTGTCTTTTCAGACTTTAATTGTTGAACTTTACAGAAGTAATATGATTCATTTTCCATAAAAACAGTTTCGAGTTTTTTTGATTTATATTAATCTTAATTATTACTATCTAACGTTGAATTTACTACAAGCTTTCACACACTAGTACAACACACGAAGTGAAATGAATGTTCTACTTTAAATTTTCTTTTAACTTTTATGGACTAATGTAGACGGAGTACAACACAAAAGACAGTCGTATTGCTCCAATATATATTACAGAACAAAACTATATTCTATAACTCAGGCTAGAATTTCAATTGAGTTCATTTCTAGAGAAAATGACTATATGATCAGAATGTTTCATGTTAATTATTCAAACTGAGACAGCTATACCATCCTTAAATAGTTCGTTAGATAAACTACCATAGGCCTTGTTCACACTACAGGTAAAAATTACATTCTACTGTTCTGTATCTTATTAGACTAATGAAATGAAATGGAGTTTTATATCCAACTGTTCTATATCTTATTGGACTAATGAATGAAATGGAGTTTTATATCCTACTGTTCTGTATCTTATTGGACTAATGAAATGAAATGGAGTTTTATATCCTACTGTTCTGTATCTTATTGGACTAATGAAATGAAATGGAGTTTTATATCCTACTGTTCTGTATCTTATTGGACTAATGAAATGAAATGGAGTTTTATATCCTACTGTTCTGTATCTTATTGGACTAATGAAATGAAATGGAGTTTTATATCCTACTGTTCTGTATCTTATTGGACTAATGAAATGAAATGAAGTTTTATATTCTACTGTTCTGTATCTTATTGTACTAATGAAATGAAATGGAGTTTTATATCCTACTGTTCTGTATCTTATTAGACTAATGAAATGAAATGGAGTTTTATATCCTACTGTTCTGTATCTTAATATATTAGCAGTATATGAAATCAAATGAGGTGTTTGTCTGTTTAAATCATGGTCTTTTCTTACGACCTAATAGTTATAAGTTATCATGAGGCAATACATATTGTAATTTTAATATTTTAATTATTAACTTGCAGCTAGTGAAATATACCTTTCTATTAATATATTACTGCTGTGTCCACGCGCTATTTCATTCTAATTTATTTCTATTTTTATGAATTAAAACCTATAAAAAAGNGGTGTGTTTCGTTTTAGGGTCGCATCAATAGACCCGGATATATTTTCATTGTGACCACAATCTAGCCAATCAGCGTTCATGCTCCATTAAATATCACCCAATCAGATGAAAGATCAGACTATTAGATGACCTTGATGACGTATTAGGGTTTTATTGAGACTATATTAGTCACCCATTGAAAGACTACGTTATTTGTACCGTATTTAACCCTTTTATAGACCCTTTTAACAGTTCAATAGCCTTTTATTATCATACAGAGAGTCGAATATCAAGTTTAGACGATCAGATGACGTAAAGAGTTTTATTGATCCTATTTCGTAATGTATTATATAGAGAAGACTGTGAAATATTATATAGGGGAAGATAATAAAATTCGTAGAAGAAAATGAAAGAGGTCAATAGACGTTACCTTCAACTTCCAACTCTTTATTGTAATATCGTTTTAATATATAAGGTGATATAAGAGTGAGATAATACGCCAGGGTTTTTTCTTCATGACGCAATGGGTCTATTATCTGCTCAATATTTCAATTGGGGGTGGGTAATAGCCCTTTATTACGATTCTTATTTATATAAAATTATAAAATAAATACATGTTTATCATAGATTCAGATAACGATTTAGACAAACCATGTGACATCACTGACCCCTCTTCATGACGTAATTTGTCTATTTTGGTCTCTGAAGAAAGGGGGGCGTTTAATGTGAGCTTATATCAGACGAAGCTCTCGAATCCAAAATTTTTTTTTTGAAATCGAGGCATGTCCTATTTGAAACTAACAAAAGTGTTGAGTATAATACTCCATGCTTCAATAATCATCTATCTCTCTACCATTTACAGATAATATATCTCATAGTATATATACATAATGACGTCATTGTTACAGGAATAGATCTATAATATATAGTGCATTTTTTATTTCTTTCACCTTGAACCTTGACCCCTATTCAACATTTCTTATAAACGATCTCATGGGTTTATATCACAAAGAAAACTTCTATACGCCTATCAAAACCACAAACAGGTATTGATACTTCTTGGAAGACGCTTTATCGTCTTATCCGTTTCTTTTCCGTCGTAATCGTTTCTTTACCGTCGCAACCGTTTCTTTATCGTTTATCGTCGTATCTGTTTCTTTATCGTCGTATTCGTTTCGTTAAATACAGCACAGTAATGAAATCGGAAATAAACACGCAAAGGATTTTTGATTTTATAAAAGAGTAAAATGATTTTAAAACAAGACTATTAATATGTCAATCATTTTGAGTGATTGTAAATTGACTGATACACTAAAAATAGAGAGTAGAAACTCAAGTATTTAGAGCGATGCATTATATCGTTCCGGGGTAATGAACTCCGTTGAAAATTAGGTGAATCTTGTTGATTTGAATTATTCGTTTACATTTCATTTTAAGATGGGATGAATGATCCTGTCAAAGTAAATAAAAGTTAATTTAAAGATATGATGTATATTGTTATAAATATGGGAAAGTTACACTGCTGGTAGACTGTCCCTGAGGTCATTCTGCTGGTAGACTGTCCCTGAGGTCATTCTGCTGGTAGACTGTCCCTGAGGTTATTCTGCTGGTAGACTGTCCCTGAGGTCATTCTGCTGGTAGACTGTCCCTGAGGTCATTCTGCTGGTAGACTGTCCCTGTGGTTATTCTGCTGGTAGACTGTCCCTGAGGTCATTCTGCTGGTAGACTGTCCCTGAGGTCATTCTGTTGGTGGACAAGATTGTCTCGGACAGTTCAACCTATTCAACCGAGGAAAAACACGCTATTTAGTAAGAAGTTAATTCACTGGAGGTTTGGGGATCTGTGATTTTATGTTAGTAGGTATTCAAGCCAGAGGCAACTGTCGTCAATTAAACATGTTTTAAAACGAGATGTTATATTGGTTTGGCGCCACTCAAACGATACCAAATATAACCCATGTTTGTCACCTCAGTTTCAAGAAACACCGAATTTATCTTAAAAAACAAAACAAGCTTAAGTTCCATACTTTTTGATTGAAATATGAATGACGAACTGTTTTAGTGATTATTAACTGTAGCTGATCTATAGAAATCTTATAACTATTTCCCTAAAATCCGACAGCACTCTCTGATTTTATCTGATTTTATCTAATTTTATCTGATTTTAATTTATATTCACTCTGACAGTGTTTTTATAGTATTATGTATGTTTATCAACAACTGGTTGTTTATCTATAACATGTCTTGCTACTATCTGGGTACTTAATATAAAAATTGTACTACCAACCCCCTGATATAGATATATAGATATACACCATATATAAACTTACATCACATATATTTACATTTTTATTCATCTAATATGCCAGACAGATTTAATTAAAGAATATAAAAACTTGACAGCCAACTCGAAAAAAAAATATTGTTTTATAGGTGACCAATTTTTTGAAATTTAAATCAGACAGTTGTTGTTGAAAAGAGACAGTTTCATTCGGAAGTCGAGGTCACAAATATAACTAATAAAACTTCTTTAAAACATTTCATTGAGACCGATACACGTCTCTCTCATCATTTCATTTTAATATATTCATATTTAGTTTTATTATTACAATATTCACAAAATACAGATTTTATCTGAGTTAAATTATCTTGTAATACAACGTTAACTAATTACTATATATATATATTATAGTTGAATCAAGGTTATTAACTAATTACTATATATATATATATTATAGTTGAATCAAGGTTATTAACTAATTACTATATATATATATTATAGTTGAGTCAAGGTTATCAACTAATTACTATATATATATATTATAGTTGAATCAAGGTTATTAACTATTTACTATATATATATCTATTATAGTTAAGTCAAGGTTATCAACTAATTACTACATATATATATTATAGTTGAATCAAGGTTATTAACTAATTACTATATATATATATTATAGTTGAGTCAAGGTTATCAACTAATTACTTATATATATATATTATAGTTGAATCAAGGTTATTAACTAATTACTATATATATATATTATAGTTGAGTCAGGGTTATTAACTAATTACTACATATATATATTATAGTTGAGTCAAAGTTATTAATTAATTACTATATATATATATTATAGTTGAGTCAAGGTTATTAACTAATTACTATATATATATTATAGTTGAGTCAAGGTTATTAACTAATTACTATATATATATATTATAGTTGAATCAGGGTTATTAACTAATTACTATATATATATTATAGTTGAGTCAAGGTTATTAACTAATTACTATATATATATATATTATAGTTGAATCAAGGTTATTAACTAATTACTACATATATATATTATAGTTGAATCAAGGTTATTAACTAATTACTATAAATATTTTATATTAGAATAAAGGTTATTAACTAATTGCTATATATATATATATTATAGTTGAATCAAGGTTATTAACTAATTACTACATATATATATTATAGTTGAATCAAGGTTATTAACTAATTACTATATATATATTATAGTTGAGTCAAGGTTATTAACTAATTACTATATATATATATTATAGTTGAGTCAAGGTTATTAACTATTTACTATATATATATATTATAGTTGAATCAAGGTTATTAACTAATTACTATATATATATATATTATAGTTGAATCAAGGTTATTAACTAATTACTATATATATATTATAGTTGAGTCAAGGTTATTAACTAATTACTATATATATATTATAGTTGAGTCAAGGTTATTAACTAATTACTATATATATATTATAGTTGAATCAAGGTTATTAACTAATTACTATATATATATATATCATAGTTGAGTCAAGGTTATTAACTAATTACTATATATATATATTATAGTTATATTATAATTCATTATATAAATATATAATATATTTTTAGATGACGGAAAGCCCACTCCATTCCGGTAGTAAAGTAAAGTTATATTTGTTTAGCAACAGTTTTTAGACGTTAAACTACATTTTAATTAGAAAGTTTGGCAGAATGGCATAACAATATTACATGTTTTCAACTAGAGTGCAGATCTGAGCAATAAAAAATAAAACATACATACAACATGTTCAGACCTGTCTATTTTTACTCTTTATTCTCAGGAAAATGGCGCACCTTATATTACCAGGTAAACTTATAAATATTTAAAATACATAGAATTAACCTACACATTATAAAATACATAGAATTAGCCTATGCCTAACTATAGGTTAACTATCTTACTTTTGAAAAAATACAAATTGGGATATCATTGATTAACTGGGATAGCTACTAACAGTTATTTAAATAATAGAAGTTTCTTACCTGGAAAAAATCGCAGGGTAAATCCTTTCCCTGACGTGATGATCGAAACACTGAAAATATAAAAAAAACCAGGTGAGTAAAGTTCAGAAAAGATTGATTTTGTCAGATATAACACACGACAATCAGAAGCAATGACAGAGGATCCTTATTTTGGGTTTTACGTTGAATGTTTTAAGACAGGAAGATGTTTAAAACAGTCATACGTAAAACGCATAGTAATTTTAAACAGTCGGGCGTAAAACGCATAGTAATTTTAAACAGTCGGGCGTAAAACGTCAAGTCATGTTATGTTTTTAACACAGAGTTATAGTTCTGATGTAGTAGTGAAATATTTTAAACAAGTGGTCTAGGTTACCACAACCTTCAATAGTATATTCCTGTTACTCCTAGCGACCTTGACCTCTATACAGATTGACCTAGTAACCTAGAATCTTAGTGAACACATGTGTTACAGTTGTTTCTGATATTAATTTCACTTTTCTTATCTTATAAAACACTTGTCATAATCTACTTCAAAATCCCATGACATAGAGGCGTTTTTATATAACTTTCACAATTTCATTACAAAAATTGACTATATAAATATCATTATGGAAATTTAAAACTCAATCCGTTAACAGAAACAATATCTTACAGTAATAATCAGAACCCACACCAATAACGATATATTTATATATATATATTATAGATATTATTTCAGATAAAAGTTCTTCTGAAGCCGGCGGTATTAGACGTCTGTCACTAAAATAACAAATTCTAAACAAAACCCAACTCATCATTTATAAAAATCACCAGAGGCCAACTATCCGATTCATATTATTACAGCATGCAGTTCTTGTTCTGTACTGAGTTTATTCTTTAACTGTTAAAACAGTCAGATTCTCATTTCATATCGGAACAACCTGTGACAATCTTAAACTGGGTCAAGTCGTCATGAATGGATTTTTCTGCCTTGAACTCGTTGATTTCAAATGATATCTATATTGACTTGTGACTAGTGAGCGGATTCCGAATGATATCTATATTGACTTGTGACTAGTGAGCGGATTCCGAATGATATCTATATTGACTTGTGACTAGTGAGCGGATTCCGAATGATATCTATATTGACTTGTGACTAGTAAGCGGATTCCGAATGATATCTATATTGACTTGTGACTAGTGAGCGGATTCCGAATGATATCTATATTGACTTGTGACTAGTGAGCGGATTTCGAATGATATCTATATTGACTTGTGACTAGTGAGCGGATTTCGAATGATATCTATATTGACTTGTGACTAGTGAGCGGATTTCGAATGATATCTATATTGACTTGTGACTAGTGAGCGGATTCCGAATGATATCTATATTGACTTGTGACTAGTGAGCGGATTTCGAATGATATCTATATTGACTTGTGACTAGTGAGCGGATTCCGAATGATATCTATATTGACTTGTGACTAGTGAGCAGATTCCGAATGATATCTATATTGACTTGTGACTAGTGAGCGGATTCCGAATGATATCTATATTTACTTGTGACTAGTGAGCGGATTTCGAATGATATCTATATTGACTAGTGACTAGTGAGCGGATTCCGAATGATATCTATATTGACTTGTGACTAGTGAGCGGATTCCGAATGATATCTATATTGACTTGTGACTAGTGAGCGGATTTCGATAGTTTTTAACTTTAATCTGATTTTGGGTGGTACCAATTGATAGAAGTATTTAGGTAACTCTAGAGTTTACTAGTATCTAACAGTGGATATTTTGATTGTTAGCCTGACCTACTAATTACTAATTACCAATCAATCAATTAAGTATATTGTTGTATCAGTATAGTCATTCATTCTTATTACCTTATCACGACTGAAACTTCATATCTTTTAACTATCGACAATATTCAGTTTCATTTCCAATACAGTTTTCAGACCACCGAAACTGTGTGCAACACCCTAACATTCAATATATTGATATTTCTGATAACAGACACCTGTTCCCGGAACTAGAGTGAGTTACTGATATCAGACCAGATTCAGTAATATCCCAGCTAATGATTACTATTAATATATAGATTGTAGTAATACACCTACATTCAGTAATATCCCAGCTAATAATTACTATTAATATATAGATTGTAGTAATACACCTAGATTCAGTAATATCCCAGCTAATAATTACTATTAATATATAGATTGTAGTAATACACCTAGATTCAGTAATATCCCAGCTAATAATTACTATTAATATATAGATTGTAGTAATACACCTAGATTCAGTAATATCCCAGCTAATAATTACTATTAATATATAGATTGTAGTAATACACCTAGATTCAGTAATATCCCAGCTAATAATTACTATTAATATATAGATTGTAGTAATACACCTAGATTCAGTAATATCCCAGCTAATAATTACTATTAATATATAGATTGTAGTAATACACCTAGATTCAGTAATATCCCAGCTAATAATTACTATTAATATATAGATTGTAGTAATACACCTAGATTCAGTAATATCCCAGCTAATAATTACTATTAATATATAGATTGTAGTAATACACCTAGATTCAGTAATATCCCAGCTAATAATTACTATTAATATATAGATTGTAGTAATACACCTAGATTCAGTAATATCCCAGCTAATAATTACTATTAATATATAGATTGTAGTAATACACCTAGATTCAGTAATATCCCAGCTAATAATTACTATTAATATATAGATTGTAGTAATACACCTAGATTCAGTAATATCCCAGCTAATAATTACTATTAATATATAGATTGTAGTAATACACCTAGATTCAGTAATATCCCAGCTAATAATTACTATTAATATATAGATTGTAGTAATACACCGAGATTCAGTAATATCCCAGCTAATAATTACTATTAATATATAGATTGTAGTAATACACCTAGATTCAGTAATATCCCAGCTAATAATTACTATTAATATATAGATTGTAGTAATACACCTAGATTCAGTAATATCCCAGCTAATAATTACTATTAATATATAGATTGTAGTAATACACCTAGATTCAGTAATATCCCAGCTAATAATTACTATTAATATATAGATTGTAGTAATACACCTAGATTCAGTAATATCCCAGCTAATAATTACTATTAATATATAGATTGTAGTAATACACCTAGATTCAGTAATATCCCAGCTAATAATTACTATTAATATATAGATTGTAGTAATACATCTAGATTCAGTAATATCCCAGCTAATAATTACTATTAATATATAGATTGTAGTAATACACCTAGATTCAGTAATATCCCAGCTAATAATTACTATTAATATATAGATTGTAGTAATACACCTAGATTCAGTAATATCTCAGCTAATAATTACTATTAATATATAGATTGTAGTAATACACCTAGATTCAGTAATATCCCAGGTAATAATTACTATTAATATATAGATTGTAGTAATACACCTAGATTCAGTAATATCCCAGTTAATAATTACTATTAATATATAGATTGTAGTAATACACCTAGATTCAGTAATATCCCAGCTAATAATTACTATTAATATATAGATTGTAGTAATACACCTAGATTCAGTAATATCCCAGCTAATAATTACTATTAATATAAAGAGATGTGTGTACCAGCGCCAGCGTCGCCAGGAGATTAGTAACACCATGAATGAACCCGAATTGCTTATGGGCTCATTTACTATCTTGTTGATTTTTTCGCTTTGTGGACTCGTTTCTATTATACCAGTTCACCGTGGTGTTTCTATTATACCAGTTCACCGTGGTGTTTCTATTATACCAGTTCACCGTGGTGTTTCTATTATACCAGTTCACCGTGGTGTTTCTATTATACCAGTTCACCGTGGTGTTTCTATTATACCAGTTCACCGTGGTGTTTCTATTATACCAGTTCACCGTGGTGTTTCTATTATACCAGTTCACCGTGGTGTTTCTATTATACCAGTTCACCGTGGTGTTTCTATTATACCAGTTCACCGTGTGGTTATCAATAGTTAGTAATAAAACATCAGGTAATGTATTGACCAACAGATGGAGAGAAATACTATATTATCACATAAAGCAGAGGTTTAATTTTTATGAACAAAAACACTTAAAAGTTGGATGCAAAAAAATCGGTTTGTTTCCATGGTAACTAAGAGCTAATTAAATAATTATCAAGTATATATTAAGTATATATAATTATGAGATGATTATTTATATGTTAGTTGTAACATCCTATCTTCATCGTTTATCTATTATCATTATAAAGGGTTTTTCTTCAATAATTACAATTTATTGACGGTATGGTATATTTTGTACTTTTACATTATTGGTTTGTGGCCATCAGTATTATCATCATCATCATTATTATCATCATCATTATTATCATCATCATCATTATCATCATCATCATTATTATCATCATCATCATTATCATCATCATCATCATCATCATCATCATCATCATCATCATCATTATTATCATCATCATCATTATCATTATTATCATTATTATCATCATCATTATCATCATCATCATCATCATCATCATCATCATCATTATTATCATCATCATTATCATTATCATTATCATCATCATCATTATTATCATCATCATTATTATCATCATCATTATCATCATCATCATTATTATCATCATCATCATCATCATCATCATCATCATCATCATCATCATCATCA